AGGGTTGGCTGGAGTGGGACATACACCTTACAGAGCTAAATTCACTAAAAAGACCACAGGGACCTGAACTACAGAGGGAAAGTACCCAAGGATTTTTGGTTCCCTTTGCCTTCCTCCATGCCCCAAACCATTTCCTCATTTATTCTAACCATTCACTGAGCACTAATCAGTGAACTCCCTAGTTCAGAAAGACTAAGCTTTGTTGGGCTGTTTTTATCCATATATTTCAGGTGAGGTGCTATAGATGTGGAGAAAACCAGAGAAGACACATAGATCTCTTGGCTTTGGTCCAAGTGGGGGATTCGCAACAGACAGAATAGGTAACATAGAAGAGGGCATTCCAGGGAGCAGGAAAAGTACTGGGTTATACTAGCAGAATGACAACCCATCAGAATGGGCTGTAAACAGGTCAGACTTAAAGGCATATTAAAGAAAAAGACTTTTATACATAGTAACAAACTGCAGGTAAGAATGAGACATTACTCATTTTCCAGGGTAGGAAGTCTTATAATTTATATCAGGGATCTCTAGCTTAAGAGTAAAGGTTCCCTAAGGAACTCTGGTAGCACCAATTCCAGGGCTGAGCATGCTTCAGCGAGTTCATTGCAGCCAACATCTGAAACATCAAATAAATGGAAGTCCCTTAAAGATTCCTCCAAGACTACATGAACTACTTCCCAGAGCTGTTCCTTCACCAGAACCTTTCTAATTGGTACTGAGATTTTTCTTTTTTTTTTTGGAGACAGCATTGGCTGTGTCACACAGGCTGGAGTGCAGTGGTGCAATCTTGGCTCACTCACTGCAACCTCTGCCCCCTGGGCTCAAGCGATCCTCCCACCTCAGCCTCTCAAGTAGCTGGGACCACAGGCACACACCACCACGCCTACTTTTTTGTATTTTTGGTAGAGATGGGGTTTCAGCATGGTGCCAGGCTGGTCTTGAACTCCTGAGCTCAAGCAATCTGCCCGCCTCAGCCTCCCAAGGCTTTGGGATTATAGGCGTGAGCCACCGGTGCCTAATACTGAGATTTTTCTGAGAAAATAAATTTTGAGAATTGTGGTTGTGAGAAAATATAGTTGCCATGTAGTATATAGGTAGACTTCACTAATCCCTAAATTTAAAAGACCTGTGTGAGGCATCCTTATGTGTTAATTTTTAATTTTCTAGTTTATCTTGCTTTATCCTTAAAAAAAGTTCATTTCACTTGCCATTTTTCTACCATCCACATTACTATACATTTATATTTACTTCCAAGCACCTCAAGTACTTCAGGGCTCTCACTGGAGCGTCACAGCACTGTCAGAAATGGAAAGATACTGTAAGGAAACACGTTAAAATTTTGGAAACAGTTTACAGTGGAGATCTACTCCTTAAAGATTCCTCCAAGACTACATGAGCTACTTACCAGAGCTGCTCCTAGAATCCAGGTTTCTCGAATCTTAATCTGCGCCTTTTCTTTTGAATAGTATAGGTGGGGTCTTATTCATGTAGCCTAAACCTAAATTGGTTCTGGTTCTTAGTGAATTTTTTTGTTTTTTTGAGACAAGGTCTTGCTCTGTTGCCCAGGCTGGCGGTGTGGTGGCATGATCTGGGTTCACTGCAACCTCCGCTTCCCAGGTTCAAGTGATTCTCGTGCCTCAGCCTCCTGAACAGCTGGGATTACAGGTGCCTGCCACCACACCCAGCTAATTTTTCTATTTTTTTTTTTTGAGACAGAGTCCCGCTCTGTCGCACAGGCTAGAGTGTAGTGGCGTGATCTAGGCTCACTGCAAGCTCCGCCTCCTGGGTTCACGCCATTCTCCTGCCTCAGCCTCCTAAGTAGCTGGGACTACAGGCACCTGCCACCACGCCCAGCTAATTTTTTGTATTTTTAGTAGA